AGACACACCCGACATTTTAGCCTTCTGTCCAGGACCCAGGGATTCCAAAATGTCCTCCATTTTGAGTGAGGGCCAGCCTGGCTTAGTGGTTTGAGTGTTGGACTGCAACTCTGGAGACCAGGGTTTGAATCCCAGCTCAGCAATGGAAACTCACTGGGTGACCTGGGACAAGTCACACTCTCTCAACCGCAGAGGAAGGCAATGGAAAGCCTCCTCTACAAATCTTGCCAAGAAAACCCCATGGTCACCATAATTTGGAAACTACTTGAAGGCACACGACAACAACAACATGATCAAATCAAAGCTCAAAACCCACATCTAAATATAAAGTCATGCTTCCTTTGTTGTCGTGTGCCTTCAAGTGGTTTCTGACTTATGGAGACCCTAAGGCAAACCTATCACAGGGTTTTCTTGGAAAGGTTTGTTCAGAGGTTTGCCATTGCCTCTCTCTGAGGCTGAGAGAGTATGATTTGCTCAAGGTCATCCAGTGGTTTCCATGGCTGGTTAAACTGGGATTCGAACCCTGCTCTCAAGAGTCATAGTCCAATACCCAAACCACTTCACCATGCTGTCCTGCTCCATTGCAAAAGGCTCTGTCAAGCCTCTTCCTTTGAGTTTCAGTTGGCTGTCCTGCAGATCTCTTGCTCTGTGTGTCTGTGTGTAATATTTGTTTTTCTTATTTTTCTTAATCTGTAATGTAATGTTATTCTTTTCTTCAGTGTTATTTACATTGCAGATAGTCAAGAGGAAGGATCTTTTAAGTCCCATTGATTTCAGTAGCATGCTCTTAAGCATGTGGTTAGTAACTCTTTTGGAAGAAATGGGACTTAAAAGTGGGACTTTGGCTGAATCACACATTCTGCGTGTGTCCTTTAGATGTTAAATGAAATTTATGCAAAAAGATAAGACTCAACAATATGTGATCTCTTTAAAATGGTTAGAGCACCATTCAGTATCCTTCCTTGCATTTCGTATTGGAAATGCAGAGCCATAGTGTGGCTGAGGGCAACTGATTTTAATTTTATCTGCATTGCCTCTAGAGAGTGATATTTAATAACAGAGGGACCTTGCGTGTACCTTTCTGCTCCCTCTTGTGTCAGTAGTTTTAAAGCATACCAGGCATCCAAGAGTTATAGGAGGAGATACAGGTTGTTCTGGGCCTTTAAAATGTGTCTTGTTTGAATCAATGTGCCAAATGCATTTTGCTGTCAGTCAGTCTGTGTGTGTGTGTGTGTTGTGTGCCTTCGAGTCATTTCTGACTATGGCGACCCTAAGGCGACTCTATGATGGGGTTTTCGTGGCATGTTTCTACAGAGGAGATTTGCTATTGCCATCCTGAGAGAGTGTGACTTGCCCAAGGTTACCCAGTAGGTTTTCATGCTGGGAATTGAACCCTGATCTTCAGAGTTGTAGTCTAACACTCAAACCACCACACCACACTGTCTTTTTTGAGATCAATTGGACAGATCCGCTCTACCCAGAAACTTCCCCTAGGCTACAGGAACTATTAAAAGGAGTTGATAAAACCTGACATGTGACTCAAGTTTCTGGGTCTCATTTTGAGTGTAGGAATCTGCTTTTAAGTCAGACCATTGTCCTCCTTCTGGTTGGGGCCAGATTTCAGGGTTCCAGGATCTCCCCCCACCCCCAGCATCAAGATCTTGTCCAAAACACATCCATTTAGAATTAGAGGGATCTGAGCCCAAAGCTTTGTTTTCTGTGCCAGAACTGAAGAGAAGTCAGTCCTCCCACACGCAAATCCACAAGCTGGAGTATGTCCAGAGGAAGGCAACCAAAATGGTGAAAGGTCTGGAAACCATGCCATATGAGGAGAGACTTGGAGGGCTGGGTATGTTTAGCCCGGAAAAGAGAAGGTTTAGAGGTGACATGATAGCCATGTTTCAATATTTGAAGGGATGTCATGTTGAGGATGGAGCAAGCTTGTTTTCTGTTGTTCCAGAGACTAGGATATGGAGCAATGGATGTAAATTACAGGAAAAGGGATTCTATCTAAACATTAGGAAGAATACCTTGCTTGTAAGAGCTGTTTGACAGTAGAACATGCTGCCTCAGGAGTGTGGTGGAATCTCCTTTGGAGGTCTTTAAACAGAGGCGGGGTGGCCCTCTGTTGGGGGTGCTTTGATTGTGTGTTCCTGCATGGCAGGAGGTTGGACTGGATGGCCCTTGAGGTCTCTTCCAACTCCAGGATTCTTTGATTCTATGGTTCTGGCAGCCCTCAGCTCTTGTCAGTTCAGCAATAAAAAGTGGGGAGGGAGTCATTTTACTGTTATTGGACAATCTGAACCCTTGGAAAATTACTACAAGTAACCCACAGATCTTCTCATAACTACCCTGTTTACATCCCTGTTTGACCTCATTAGTTGGTCACCCTTGACTGGCGTGACTCTCCATGGTATTCAGCAGAAGAATCCTTTTTAATCCTTTGTTATGTGACTTCAAGCTTTTTCCAACTTGTGGCAGCCCTAAAGTGAACCTACCATGGGGTTTTCTTGACAAGGTTTGTTCAGAAGGTGTTTGTTCAGAAGGTGTTTGAGGCTGAGTGAGTGTGACTTGCCCAAGGTCACCCTGTGGGTTTCTATGGTCAAGCAGCAATTTGAACCCTGATCTCCCAAACTCCTAGTCCAACCTTCAAACCACTATACCATGCTGGCTCTGTTTTTAATATTCCTGTCCTTCATGGTCAGAGACCAAACCTGGAATCTGCTGCATGCAGAGTATCTGCTGTAGCACTGATTTATCTCATCTAAAATTGGTGAGATTTATTCTGATAGAAGAAGAGAAAACACACATCTCCTCTTCTTCAGATGACATCTAGAAGTACAAGGAGAGGAAAAGTGATTTGCCTCTGCCTCTTATCTTGTAGCCGCATCTTATATATCTAAAGTAGTCCTAAGGTACTCAGCAGAGAGGGAAGAAGTTATATCTCATTAATGAGTACAGTATTGCGATTCATACTAAAGTGAGCCCCTGTTGAATTGCTTGCTGAGGACAAGAGTGAACATGCAAATTTGGGTAATTGCTTTGTCAATTTAGAAAGCCAACTGTGTAAAAGTTTGTAGAGAGATCTTGTAGCACATTGGAGACTAACTGAAAGAAAGAAGTTGGCAGTATGAGCTTTCATAGACTTCACTCTACTTCCTCAGATGCTTTAAATCAGACATTAGGAATGGGAATACACAAAAACCAGTGGCAGAACATTTTAATCTCCCTGGGCCTTCCATCTCAGAACTCAGAACAGCAGTCCTTGAACGAAAGAATTACAAAGTAGATTGGAAAGAGAAACAGCAGAATTGGAATTTATCCATAAACTGC